AATGACAAAGTAATCAAAGTGAAGTTACTAAAAAAATGAATGAATAAAGTCCATTGTACTGGAATCTATAGACAAAGCAATTCAATTGTGTCAGAATTGAGCGCAAAATAAACCGAATTGTTTTAAAAATCGAAAAAGCCATGTATTTTGCATATCTGTTTGTAATGTAGTGTGCGCAGTTCCTGTTCGTCGCGAAACAAAATAAAACGAAACGAAACAAAACAACTGAACAGAATTAAAGTATTTTATGCCGTCAGATTAACAGTTATGTTTGTTTTACAAGAGAAGTGTGTCGACCACGGCTGCAAGTAAACAAATACACACATACATTCTCCATCATACGAAACGCACACTAAAAACCAGTGCATTACTATGATTTGATAACGCGCAATGATATGAAATTACGTTCGGAACGTCGGTTATCCGTGACGCGTTCGAATCTCTATATTTATTAGGTATTAGATGGAAATAACTTCCTCTTGTACACGATCGAGTGTACGTGCGACTTTAAAATTTAAGTGCATAACATTAAAACGAAATTAAAGTCTTTACATAATGAATAATTTAAAACTTGTTCGATTTTGGGTTTAATTAAATCGCATCGATGACTAATTATGTCGGATGGTTTAAAGTTTCGCTTTAATATTATGTTAAAGTTTCGGGGATTGATCGATTACAGCGCCAGCAGCTGTTTACATTTGATTATCCCCACCGAAATTGCACGCAATTAATTACTCTAATTGTTGAACTTTGCATAATAAATGGAATTTAAAGTGCTCGCATATTCACGTTTGTTTATAAACAGTATTTTCAACTGAAACAATACTTATTATATATCAGCGTGTCTCAAACTGTGTCGCGAAATGGCAGCTGTCACCTTGTGCCAAAAACTGTCACAAGCTGTCACAAGTTTTGACAGAAGCTGTCACAAGCTTTGACAGAAGCTGTCAAAAGCTTTGACAAAAACTTTCACATATAATAGGATACACAATTGTATGCAATATCATTAAGATTTGTAAATTTGTAATCTAAAGTGATATTATTTATACCATCCAAGTATGCGTATTGCTTAACTCTTGTCATCTATCAAATGCACGCACGCAAACTTGTTGTTTTTTGGTATGAATATGTATACTTGCTTTATTCGTGTTCATTATTATTCATTTACTAATGCAATAAAGAAACAATTTTATTCGTCTCTTGCGCTATAAATATTACTGTCGGCTTAACACTATTGTATACAGTATAAGTTTTTGTAGTTTTGTTTAGGAAATAAAACAACAGTGATTACTGTTCCACTTCACGGTTTACTTTGGAACCAATAAATCAATTTCGTTAAGTCGTTATTTTTTCTTTTATAATCCGAACTGTTTTAATCTCCAGAACCTGTGCTGATTATAATTTATTGAGTTTAAAATATTTACACGGATTTCCAGTATTTAAAAAAAAACAAAACTTTTAAATTCCCATACAAATTTATTATTATAATTTAAAACAAGTAACATCTAATATTTACTTATTTTAGCAAATAGTTTAAAAGCTTGCTTTTAAAGAAATTAGAGTTAAATCGTTTTTTTTTAAATTGATATTCAAATACATTTGAGGTTTGCAAATTCGGTAGGTAGATTACCACAAGTCATTCATGAATTATTTACGTAAGCCGTTATCAGCTGGATTACGCAACTGTGATAATACCCTCAAAGCATCGCATGTAATTATGCAACACAAATAACGCGGATGTTTACTCATGTGTGTCTAGTTAAGCTTCGCTCTAACAGATGGCTATTTATTCAAATTAAATTGTGTTTCATTAATTATTGTTTTGTACTAAATTATTAAGTTGTTTAATGAACTTTAAAGTATAATTTAACAATGTCTAGAGTCTCAAATCTTAAAACTATAATTAGAACAAACTAAGCTAATTACAAGGTATTCCACAGGTTAATTCCTAGTAGGTTTCTTTTATATAAATGTGCTCTGTTTGTATTCAACAAAAATTCAATAATGATATCACAGTATCTCTAAGTAGAACTCGAATCTATTCGAAATAAGCTCGTGAAATGACAATAAAACATTTCGTAATTCAATACAGCTGTTCCATCATTAACTAAAACAAATCTTTGGAGAAGTCCAGTTGATGATCATGCAGAAAATCCATAAGCTTTCAATTTTTTCAAGATTATTGCGCGTTGAACTAAATCTAAAGTCTTGATGAAGTCACTATGAATTACATTAGCCTCGATCATCTAGCACACTTGATATGCATTTATACATCACAAGTTAGTCATTGTTGAACAATTCTTTAACAGTGTTGATGTAATCATTGTAATTTAATTGATGTGGCGCACAAATGTAACAAAATAACAATCAAATTAATTATTTGAAATGTAGAAGATATCTTTAAGTAACAAATTTTAACATAAGACAGTTATTGTGAGTAATCCTAGTATATAGTTGTGAATAATGAACATTGAAAGGAAATAAGGTGTGTGTCGGGGAAGAAAGCAGTTAAGCGTCTGCAAATTCGCGCTTTGAAAAAGTTGTGTAATTAAGTGGCAAACAAAGAGACAGGAGGGATGACGGTTGTGGTAATATATGTTTCCTTCGCTTCCTGCGCGAGCGGAAATTAAAAGTGTCTTTAATTGCGATCTCCCAGTGGATCATAACTGCATGCATTACATTGTGTTGTCGAAGACCGGTATTGGAAAACAATAATTATTTGGGAGGAGGCCGGGTGCGGTGTGCGTTCGCATCATTCTTTTTGTAGGTAATTAAAATTTTCGCATGAGAACGGTATCAATTATTTCTTCTACTGATACTGAAGCAAAAGAGGCTTCGAGGCAATCGTTAACTGAAATCTGTGTCTCGTCTCCTGTCCGGGGGTATTAAAAGGTATGGCATGCGGCTCGCAGCGTCCTCGAGAGCTTGTGCATTTAATCAGATAAGATGTAACCAAATATCTTCGGAGGCCAAACCGAGTTTTAACGTTTAATAAGATCATTGCACCGAGCATTGAACGCCGCGCCGTGGAAACCCACCAGAGATGCGAGGAGACCTAACTGAAGGTAGTTGTAGTAGTAGGATAGAAGGATGGACGTCGTCTATCCTCGAGGTTGTGAGAAGGGAGACTTTCTTATAGAAATTAAGATAGGGCCTGCGGCCTCCGGAGGCTCCTTTTTCGGTCGTTTTGGTGGTTATTTTTGTTCACGTTTCGCTTTCCGGCCGCACTTCAAGTAGCCATTAATCTCGGACGGGGCGAGTCGACAATGGTTGGAGCCCCTCGTCCACGATGTGTATAGGAGGAATAAGTTATCACACGTCGGGCATCTGCTTCAGCCGTACACATACAATAGCCACGGGTTCTGCGACCATTAAGATGTATTTAGATTATATTAATTGCCGTTTTCGGGCGATTTTTGTAATGCATGACTGATGCTCCTTTATTCGGCCGCATCTGCGAGCGATCCGGATCCGTACTCCTCTTATGAGCAACAAGAATCAACGAAGCTGCGGAACGCGAAATCATTCGTATGATTATAGTCACTGAACACGAAAAAAAAAAAGAAAATGCGTAATCAAGATCAAAGGAATGATGACCGACCGCCGCCGTAACTCGCATTCGATGCGATCATTATCAGAGTGTGTCTCTGCATGGACTACAATTGGAAATTTTTAATACCGCTATTAGATGATCAATCCCTGAAATTAAATCTACTTACAGCATAAAGTGCATTAAGGAAATCACTTGGAAGACTATATACACAATTGGTATCAGCTGTCAATGAACTTAAGTGCACTTTTACAACAGCTGTTTCATATAATAATCATTTTACCTATAATGATGAAATTAAAATGTTAATTACATCATTTACTACTTTTATTTCCAACATTCAAAGATCAATGACATCGAAAAAAAACTTCCAAAAAAAGACGAATTAGCCAAACCTTTCCGCATTTGGAGAAGATATATAATCTTACTCTTTCTCTAGTCCTCTTCTTCGTGTCTCTTTTTTTTGTGGGTTGAATAAGTGGATCGATTTCTAATTATTCAAAACCGAAGATAATCGTGAGTCGCCGGAGGCTTTGAGCGAAGAGCACGGTCTATGTGATTAAATACGATTAAAGTGCATACCACACCAGATGTACAATCTTCTTCAAATGATCGATTTATTGCACTTGCCGTTTGTAGTAGACACTGTCGTTCTTTAAGAAAAAAAATCATGAATACTACTTAATTGCTTATTTAATTGGAAACTAAAGTCCACGATAGAGACATTTCACAAGCGAATCGATGCGCTCTTATCTCCTTTACTAATTAATAGTATATAAACGGCAATGACTAATTCACAAACTGCTATTCATAAAGACCGGACAATTCACACGCTCATTCTCTTTGCTTTCTCCACTTGTATTACTACTACTACTACTGTCAACTTAGCGTTTATTGTAGTTGTTAAATAGCATTTATAATTTACTGGATGCAACAAAGCCAGAAACACAAATGCAATTCATGAAGTTTTGAACGTAATAATTACGTATCTTGCACAACATGTATAGTTAATAATGACTTTGCTAATAAGATTAAAAAAAAAATACAAATGGTTCATTGTGTACCATGATGATCGTAATCATGTATGGTCTCAAATTGCATCAATTAAATCATTAATTATAATTAAATACAAAAAGAGTTGTTATTGTTATATATATTTTTTAAGTTAATCAAAACAAATTGCGAGAAATAAATAATTTTATCTGTATTTATGTTTCGAAATATAAGACGTATTTATACTGGATTTAAGTGCTATATTTAGTTCAGTATTTGCATGTTGTTTGTTTTATTGTATCGAAGAGGATTATGGCTTGTACTTTCCTGGACACGAAACGTCAATTTGCGTGGTTGGGCACTTTCGTAAAGTTCTATAACGCCTGAGAGATTAAAAAAAACTTCATTAACTTGAATTGCTAGTGAAGTAAATGATAGAGGTCGATTGGTTTGCTTGATATTTATTATTATTATTATTTTTGTTTTAAGTTATACAACAAAAGGGATTATTAAAGACTAGCGTAGATTAATTTTAAGCCATCCTTGATTCGTTTTCCGAGACTTGCATCGACTTGTGTGAAATTGGCCACGGTCTTAAGCTGAATCTCTCTGTTGGCCTTCTTCAGCTCAGTAACTATGTTGTCGATGAGCCTGGTTTTGGCTGCTTCATCGAGGACGCGCTGATAGAAGACTCTAGCTTGCGTGAAGTTATCATCATCTTTGGTGTCGTATCTTTCCACGACGCCTTCCGCTTTGTAGGTGCGATAATATTTCTTCGCTCTTTCATCCGAGTTAGGTCCTCCGAAACTATTCGGATGATAGTTGGGTGCTCCACCTTGACTGTTGACGGTGTTCAATCCGTCCCTCTGGAAGTTGGTTACTCGGAACGGACAGTTGACCGGAAGCTGGGTGAAGTTGACACCTAATCTGTAGATGTGAGCGTCGTGGTAGGAGAACAGTCTACCCTGTAGCATCCTATCCTGAGATGCTGAAATTCCCGGTATGAGACTAGCCGGGGAGAAGGATAGCTGTTCCACCTCCGAGAAGAAATTGGTTGGGTTCTTGTTCAACACCAGCTTACCGACCGGTCGCAGAGGGAAGAGACCGTGAGGCCAAACCTTGGTAACATCGAACGGATTAAAATCGCACTCTGTGGCCTGCTGGTGCGTCATTGTTTGGATACGCAAAGTCCACGATGGACATTCGCCCGAGGCGATGGCATTGTATAGATCTTTGAGAGCGTAATCCGGTTCTTCGCCGGCCAACTTGGTAGCCTTTTGGACGTCGAGGTTTTTAATCCCCTGGTCGGTCTGGAAGTGGAACTTGCAGAACGTGACGTTCTTGTCCTTGTTAATTAAGGTGAAGGTGTGCGAACCGAAGCCGTGCATGTGCCGAAAACCATCGGGAATTCCACGATCTGCGAATAGGAACATGACCTGATGAGTGGTCTCCGGTCTCAACGAAATGAAGTCCCAGAACATATCCCAATCCCTAACATTGGTAACCGGGTTCCTCTTCTGCGAATGTATGAAGTGCGGAAACAGCACCGGATCTCTGATGAAGAAAATCGGAGTGTTATTTCCGACCAAATCCCAGATGCCATCGTCAGTATAAAATTTCACAGCGAATCCTCTAGGATCGCGCACCGTGTCCGCTGCTCCCAAATTCCCAGCGACCGTTGAAAAACGCACCGCAGTTCTTGTCTGCTTTCCAATACCATTGAAAACCTTTGCTACAGTTAAATCTGTGATATCATGGGTTACTTCGAAATAACCGAAAGCTCCAGCTCCTTTTGCATGAACCACCCTCTCAGGAACCCTTTCCCTCACGAAATGCGACAGCTCATCAAGAAGTTCCCAATCTTCGAGTAAAATTGGTCCGTATTTACCGATCGTCAAGCTGGAATCCTTCTCGGGAATCGGATTTCCGGTGCTCGTCGTGGCCGAACCCAATTCCTAAGACGAAATCAATTCAATTACGTTCGATGAGTCGGCAGTGAACTCGGCAACTTACCGAGTGCTTCCTGTAGTAATTCCTCAACTGCTCGGCTGACTGCTCCCTCGATTCGGACATGTTGCCTCTGGGACCGAGTTTCTGGTACTAAGTGATGCAAGATTCGGACGCATTTTTATATTTCCCCAGACGCTAGGAAGCGGTTTCGTTGATAAACTCCGAAATGAATAACAAAGGAAAAAACAAGTCTGGCGATTAAATTTTAATTACCTCATCAATTGAAGACACCCACAATTAATCTGTATATTAAAATAGCGTAATCTATTCTACAACAAGAATAGAAAAATCTATTGTTCGTCAATTAACTGGTAAGGAGAAAAACGAATGCATTCATTAAAACGTATTTATTATTGCTGAGATCAACAATTATCAGAATATAAACAAATAATAAAAATAATGGTGATTATACTATTGAATTATTGTTGTTTTGTTAAACATTGACCGTTGCCTTTCTCTTCAAACCGTCTCGTACTTTATTTGCGAATTCCAAGTCTACTTTCTTGAAGTTTTCCACTGCCCGGTCTTGTACCTTTTTCGCTGCGCCTCCTAAGTCATCGACGATATTGTTGACCAACCTTTGACGTTCGTCTTCCTTCAATACTCGTTTATAGAAATCGGTAGCTTGCGAAAAGTTGTCTTCATCGATGGTATCGTACTGTCCAATTTTCCCTTCCACGTACTGAAAGTTCTGGTATCTTTTCAACTTTAAATCGGAATTGGGTCCTCCGAAGCTATTGGGATGGTAATTGGGGGCTCCACCTTTGTTGTTTATGGTAGCTTTACCATCCCTCTGGAAGTTGTTCACTTTGAAGGGACAGTTGACCGGCAGCTGAGCGTAGTTCGCGCCTAAACGATAGATGTGGCTATCGTGGTAAGCGAAGATCCTACCTTGGAGCATTCTGTCCGGTGATCCGTTTATTCCAGGGACGAAACTCGAAGGATTGAAAGCCAATTGCTCGATCTCGGCGAAGTAATTAGTAGCATTTCGATTCAGCACGAATTTCCCGACCTCCATTAAAGGATAAGTCTTCTTAGACCAAGTCTTTGTAAGATCGAATGGATCAACGCTGGAATTAGCAGCCTGCTCTGGCGTCATCACTTGTATATACATAGTCCACGAAGGATAATCGCCATTGGCTATAGCGTTGTACAAATCTTCGATGTAATAATCTGGATTGCTTCCTGCCAATTGAGTGGCAATCTTTGGATCCAAATTCTTGATCTCCTGATCTGTCTTAAAATGGAATTTGCAATAAGTCACCTTTTGATCCTTGTTGATCAACGAGAAAGTGTGCGAACCGAATCCGTCCATGTGTCTGAACCCATCCGGGATTCCCCTGTCAGAGTACAACCAGAGCACCTGATGCGTAGTCTCCGGTCTCAAGGAAAAGAAGTCCCAAACCATCGTTGGGTCTCTCAAGTTCGTAACCGGATTTCTCTTCTGCGTATGAATGAAATGCGGGAAAAGTATCGGATCTCGTATGAAGAAAATCGGAGTGTTGTTGCCCACCAAATCCCAAATGCCATCGTCAGTATAGAATTTCATTGCAAATCCGTGCAGATCTCTTGGCGTATCCGCAGCTCCGTGCTCCCCAGCCACTCTGGAAAATCGTACCGCCATCTCCGTCTTCTTATTGACTTTAGAGAAAACCTTGGCCTCAGTATACTTGGTAATATCGGTCGTCACTTGGAAGTAACCGAAAGCTCCTCCGCCTTTTGCGTGCACCACGCGTTCCGGAATCCTCTCCCTGTTGAAATGCGAGAGTTCATCCAGAAGTTCCCAATCGCTCAAGACGATCGGTCCCTTCTTTCCCACAGTCACGCTAGCATCTTTATAAGCTATAGGTTCTCCTGTACTCGTAGTCACTATACCCAAATTCTACAAAAAGAAAATACGTAACACCATAAACCAATTGATAACTTACAATTAAAACTTACACCCTTCTCTTTGAAGTAATTTTCAAGCTGGTTTTGCGCCGGATTTCTCTTCCCCGCCATTTTGATGACACTGCTATGCAATTGCATTTGCTCTGCCCTTTTATATAATGTGCATTTTTGCACAGGATGCGGTTATGCAATTTCACAATAAACAAATCAACGTGCATCGATTTGCGGTTTGTCGCTGGATGTGCTACGATTTTTATTAGGATTTCCGTTTTTTCAATAAATTTCCTATGTTGTGCATTTGTTGATTTTAACAAATAATCTGTACCATTATCACAATAATAAGTATTTCTACACAAGATACTTTAATCAATGCTGAATAGATACGCAGTTTGCATCCAAAACATTGATAACAGTATTAGTTAAATAAAATATGTTATGCAATTTTTCTTTATAATCTACAATTATCTTATTAAAGGAATAGGTGTTTCCTTACGGATTATTTTTTTTTGTCGTATTGACGTTTTCCTTTGTTGCTTTGATGACGGTGACATTAAAAATAGAGGGTGGAAATTAAATTAAGAATCAGTACGAATGTGGGACGAGGTCGAATTTCGTTTAATGGCGAAGAAAATTTCAATAAATATCGTGTTTTTTGTGTGTGGCATGCGGAGTTTTTCGCGTAATCGATATGTTTATTCGCTGCCCCATTCATTGTTGCGACGTGGACAACGCGTTTCGTGCATATTCTTAAAGGTTTCAATGTCACGGTCAAAGCGGTATTGATTTCATTCGATATGCCCAATGACGTATCGAATTTCATTCGGTTTAATTACAATTCACTTAATTGCTGGACTCCACGAAATATTTACGTTTATATTGATTAGTTTCTTAAAGTGCGTACAAAAGAAACGTTTTAAAACAATTAGAAAAACGGGCACTAACGTTATGTAATTATAATAAAATATCAATATATTAGATTAGCATGAAAATAATAATTAAATTTTAATGCATACATAAAAACAAATAATTATGATTTTATGTTTAGCATTTGGTTTTATTATTGTTTTCAATTTATTGATTCTGCATTGTATGTTAATGGTGGTATAATGATACTAAATGATGTCCTTAAAAAATAGGTTTGTAATCGATTTGGTAATGCGTTTGGCTTCGTGAAAATCTATAGGGTCTAATCAAAGGTTCATTAGGTACAGTCCGATTATAAAGTGCACGGCGTTCCTGTCTTGCAGGGCTCGTAAACTTGCTCTATTTGGGATTAAGTTTACGAGTTTATAATAACTTTGCATGATTTTAATGACGCCATAAAACATCGCCAAACCAATTACACAGTACTAAAAGTTCACTCTAACGAATTACCTTGCGTTTCCAAGCCCACCACTTAAAATTTGTAAGGAAAAAAAAAATACTATTATTACATCATAACACACATTATTAAATGCAACAAAGAAATAAAACCGTTTGATTTCGTCGCGTTCACAAAGTCAAAGGGAATTCCTAATCCAAATAAAAAGGGGATGGAAGTTATCAGGCTTTGTAAATAAAATGAAAGCTGGGATAACATCTGTCCGACTCTTTGACGTCGATCCGCTCGTAAAGCTCTTAAGCAATTTGTAAATACATCTCGCATGATTGTTTTCGCATTACGCAATAATAATAATTCTCTTGCGTTCAGCTGAAAACAGCCTATTTTCGTCGCATCTCATATATATATATATCGACTCTCCATTCACTGGCGAATGCTGTGGCAATTGCCAAGATAAAAACGATATTTCTCGGTTCAGCAACAATGAATTGTGCAAACGGCCGGATAAGCGTGTCTTCTTGATTGTTGCTAAAAGCGGAGACGCTGCTGCTCCGTTCCACTTCTTTCGAAGCCATCAACTGCAACTGCTTGCACCGGGCACTCAGCTCGATGCCGATAAAAACGACCGTTTCGCAATCCATCCGAACAATCAATATTTATGTTATTCGCTGTTAAATTTAACTCGTTTCGCTGAGAGAGAACGGTGCAGCACCGTTTCGCAGGAATGCCCAATATTGTTTAGAGTACATGAAGAACATGCTATAAACGTATACTTTTATCACCGTCATCGTAAATCCGTCGGTGCAAGTAATGAAGATCCTAATGGTTTTTATTTCAGTTTCATTTGCAAATTGAATTTCTATGTTTATCCATTTTACGAATATTATCTAATTATACACGTATTTTCTTGTAATTTTATTTCGTCCCTGTCGTGTCCCAGGGATGGAATTCTGGACACAGTGGAATATTGTCTGGTGTTGTCGTTGTGGAGTCTCCACAAAAATTCGTTTGGTTTTACATAACTTTATTCGTTACTTGGTTGGTTTAAGATTTATCTGAGACTATGCTTGTCCCCAAAGGTTCTACTGAGACTCTATCAGTTTTCGAAGGTTTTACTGAGACTTTATTCATCTTGTCAAGTTCCTTTATGCTAATGTATATGTTTATATAATTATGCGACTAAGAGACGCCGTGGATGTCTCTAGTTAGTTAATAAACTATATTAATAATAACAATTATAATAATGGTTCGACACAACACTACAATCTGAACATTTGCAACAAAAAAGATATGAAAATTAAGAATTTTGTACTCAACGTATTAAAAGCATCAGTGTACAAAATTTTCTTATTTGTTTTATAACTTATGTCTTCATTCTTAATATCGATGATCAAATATAAATGATATGATTGAATCACTTTTTTTTCATAATTATGTAACGTATAAAAGCAATTAGTATTTTATTTTGAATAGTTGCTAAAATTATTATTTTCAAATTAAAAAAAGCGAATTGATAAGATTAGGAAGTTTGCAAAACGCTACAAACAATATTTTTGCAAAAGGAAAATCTTAATCTGTTATGCTTAATATTTGTTAATTTCATTATGTAACAGTGATTACTATAGATTAGTAATTTGAAAGTAGTTGTCTCATAGAAGATTGAGTTTAGTTTGTTAAGTCAATATGGAATTCGAAGCGTACTCGTGTGCAATTTGGTACCGTTATTGCCGTACCACTTTGTAACCTAAATAATGGAGTCACCAAATAATCTACATTAAATCTAAAACCGCTTATTGTAATCCGCAAGGTATGACACAGTAATCGTCGTAACCCATGCAACAAACGCCTTAAGAGTTAGATGTATTATATGCATTTGCATTACTTACAACCGTGTACAGAAATATTGGTTTTGCGGAATAAATTGTGGTTGAGAGTTGAGCTACTCCCATCCGGATAATTGTAATGACAATATCTGAAGTCTGCATCGGTTTGCTGCATAGTTGCATAACTTTTTTTTTTCCTTCAATGTGGCTAGGTGGGGAATTGATCCCGTTGCCTTTTATCTTTAGGAATGCATGACTGTGAATTCGTGAATGAGTAAAAACTCCGCCTTTCGGCTCAGTTGCATAACTCTGTTCGGGCTCAATTTAAGTAGATTATTGGGTGATGTAAACATGAAAATATTAACTATTCAGTGAAGTTTGTATCAATTGATTAGTGGAACGAGGATGTATATATTATATATTAATAATAATGATAATATCTAAACTGCATAAATATTCTGCATAGAAGATAACTTAGTAATATGGACATGAATTGCAGTGAAATTGTATTTACTCTTTACGTTTGGTGATATCATATCAATTGATGTCTGTAACTTATTGAGAAGAGGAAGAATTTATTGGAATTATTATAAGATATGATGTTTTATTTTTCCTTTATTTCACTGAAACTCGCTGCATATTTGAAATGTTTGTGTGTGTGTTTGTTCTTTTAAAAGCGGCCTTTCTGACCTTTGACCGAGCATCGCGTGACTCTCGGTAGGGAGATTCCCTCTCGAAATCCATTGGCCGAGATTTCCTCGGCTTGCTCAATAAGCGACCGAGGGAATAAAGTAAAGCGTAATCGATTCATGGGTCAATTGGTACCAGAGATAAATTCGCCAAGTGTCGAAAACCTCAACACAAAAAAAAACGAGAATTTTTCCTATGCTCTTCTATTAGTTTTGATGCTCTTCTCACGATGCGCTTTTTTTTCATCTCATTGACGACGCACTGAATCTCGGTATCTTTTTTTTCTAAACGGAATTATTTATTAGGTCGATTTGGGTTGATCTGTATAATTTTTTTCTTCGTTATTTCTTATCAGTTGCTTTTGGAAGATTTGATACGGTACAGTTTTTCATCATTTATTCTCGACTAATCGCGCCGTGCAGTACTACCGAAGAGATGCGTTTGCTGCTGTTGCTTGTGGGTGTCCTGGGTGGATGCTTTTGTAGATACGCTGACGATGCTCACGGGTTTGCTCCGCGAAGGTACGATGCGAATACTGTGAATACGAGCCAAATCGATGCGAGCAGAAGAGGAAAAGTCAAAGAGGTATTATATCCAAACGATACTGCGGTTTTATTTTTAAACGCGATGTGGAGAGGAAATTTATTGTTTTCAGTGTAATGGTGAGATGATAAACCTTCTCTCCGTTCCGATACGCTTTCCACGTTCGTGAGGCGCGCAGACTATTTACACGCTTTTTATATTTCTCATCCCGTATCGCTTCGACGCTGAATTGATGATTAGGAAACGCTTGCAACTTAATCTCGCATCACTAAGTTTAGTTGTTAAATAGCGCTCCGGTTTGCCGCACTGCCGCGATGGGTGTTCACTAAGTGTTCTTCTGCATCTTCCTGTACTTAAAATTATTTCAGTTTATTTATATTATATATTTTTTTAATTATTTTGCCATGACCAAAGCGGTTACTTCCGGTGTTTTGTCGGTGGTCGTGGTGATGGCCTGGACAGGTGTTTACCTGTCCAAATACAAGGATGACTCTCCCTTGGATACGGCTAAGAACGAGAGCGAACTTGTGTCGTTCCCTTACACCGAGGTCGAGGATGTATCTTATGTGCCGTACATAAACGAAACGGAAATACTAAGGCGCCGCGATAAGATCAAGGAGGTCTTTTGATCCTTGCTTTCCTTCTTTTCTGTGTACTAATTTTACGATTCCTTTTGACTTTCAGATGATGAAACACGCCTGGGACAATTACGTGAGGTACGCATGGGGCAAGAACGAGTTGAGACCCATCAGCAAACGAGGACACAGCGCAAGCATCTTCGGAACTCTTCCACTAGGCGCCACCATCATGGATGGCTTGGACACTCTCTACATCATGGGCATGGATGATGAGTATAAGCAAGGAAGAGAATGGATCGCCAACGAATTTGATATCGATTCATTGGTAAGAAAACATTATAATCTTCACTTTTCCCCAATCACATTTTCCTTATTATTTCCTTATAAACAAATCAACATTTATCAACATTACTGAACCATTCTATAAGTACCTCAATAATAATCTAAAGGATTTTATTAGTGGAATCATAACTTAAGAAACGAAAACTATTTATTCCCAAATGTCTTTAAAAGATATCTTAAGATATTTATTTGTATACAACTAAACCAATTACAAATACGATCTTATATAATATGTAAGATTGTTTTGTTGAGAACGAGGACTACCAAAAAATTTTTTGACGTTTCTTTTTCTATTAAATTCTTATCAATGTTTAAACTGTGCTAGCAGGCAAAAATAAAACAAACACAATATTGAGATAAATAATTGCGATTTCGTCAATAATCTCATCTTGTGCACGGCGTGTGACGCCTTCAGCAGATGATAACTCTATCGGAATCTGTCGAAACGAGATTCTAATTTAATTCAGCACGTGATTTCCAACAAACACCTGAAACAAACATTTGTTGCTTTACTGTTATAAAAAAAACAACAATTCATACATTAGTTACATCAATCTACAATATTGGAATTTTTAAAGAGAATATTAAATATTTAGTTTTCAATTAAAATATATTAAAAATTAGTAATAAATTAAATTTATTGATTAAGTTAACTTTAGGCGTTTAACTGCTTTAAGTTTTCACAAGAATTTTTTTTAAAAGTTTTATTTAGATATTTTTTAAATATAAGTCAAATCATTCGTGTCATGCATGGGAAAATTTGACCGATAAACTTTAGATCAGAACATGCTTAATCACTTGTTAATAAGAGAGAAACTCACTAAAGTGAGAAGCGTAAATACATACACGGTCTATAACCTCTTTGTATTTACCAATGATTAATTAATGGTGGATTATCTTGGTTCAAGATAATATTAATATATATTTCTTTCATTCATTTCAAAAACGCTAAAGATCAATTTTATGGTTAAAAAGAAAGTTTTATTTTTTTTTCATAATATTTGTCATCAAAACTTATAAGTTAATTTTTATAATAATAATTGAATTTTTTATAAAAAAATGTTAAATAATTTTCTGAGAAAAAAAGTATCTTTATTATGAAATATCTATGTCAATTTAATATTATATTGATATTTCTTCATAATCTATAAATAATTATAGGAATTCTATAGATATCATATTTATTTAGTCTTCGATTGCTCGAGAATAACATAAAAATAAATGGAATTCCAACGTTCTCCGAATCGGAGCAAAAAAAGCAATGTCCGGATGTTTCTGAGGCGCTTGTGATTCAACTGTCGAAGGACGCGTTTAGCCATGCAATTCGGTTAATAGTTGATGCAATTAACCGTATCTTCTGAATTTAAATCAATTTTTCAGTACTTCATTATCCTTGACTTAACTACATTTTGCACAATTTCTATCGCGTAAATCATTTTGCTATTCATATTTTCTTTGATAATAAACATAAATTGTGTTGATAAACGATTATTTGTATTATCTTGACTTCATTATTCAAGTAAATGAAAGGAAGTTTTTAGAGTTTAAATATAAAAGGATTGATCTTAAAATGGCGAGAACTGGTATTCATAATGACTCAGACAGCGATTAAGTGTGATCCTTCTTTCTTGTCGTAAATATCTATCTCCGAGGATGAGGCTATAACTCACATCCCGGCACTGTGTGCTATTTTTGCGTTATATCTCTCTTCCCATCAATTGGCGCGCTGCGCTCCTGAAAATCCATCATCTCCTATTTGCTTCCATTTTCCTGCCTCGAGAGTAGTAAGCAGCTTATGCATCCTGCAAACGAGTTCAAGAGAAATATCTCGGACCTGGTAATCTCATATTCCTGACATATTTGTTTACCGGCCGAAGAAAAGTGTAAAGTGCATGAAAAGTCTCTTGTTGCTTTTCCCTTCCACCCATTTGATTTATTTTGTTTTGTTTGGAACGACCGGAAATTGCGTTTTGGCAGTATCGAATCGGCGTCGTCGAATTGCATTTGATTGTTATTGTTATTGCCGCAGATCCAATCTGATGTTTCCGTGTTCGAAATCAACATCCGGTTCGTCGGCGGTTTGCTTTCCTGCTTCGCCCTCACCGGAGATGTGCTGTTCAAGGAGAAGGCACAGCAAATCGCGGATAAGCTGATTCCCGCCTTCCAAACGCCGACGGGCATCCCGAACGCGCTCGTCAACTTCAAGACTGGAGTAAGTTGAAAGATCCGCTCATCCAAAACCGATCTAATCTTTGCACTTCTTTCGCAGACCAGCAAGAACTACGGATGGGCGAGCGGCGGATCGAGCATCCTCTCCGAGTTCGGCACACTTCATCTGGAGTTCGCGTACCTCAGCGATGTGACCGGAAACCCGCTCTACCGCAACAAAGTCGATCACATACGTCAGCTGCTGCAGTCGATGGAGAAGCCTAAGGGTCTTTACCCGAATTACCTTAACCCCAAGACAGGGAAATGGGGACAACGTAAGCTCTCATCGTCGGTTGTTTCTTTGGTATTAACTTGGTTTCTTTGCAGATCACATGTCGATGGGCGCGCTCGGCGACAGCTTCTACGAGTACCTTCTGAAGGCCTGGATCCAATCCAACAAGGAAGACAACGAGGCCAGACAAATGTTCGATGATGCCATGGCTGCTGTACTAAAACACATGTTGAACAAATCCAGCGGCGGACTCCTCTACTTTGCCGAGTTGAAATTCGATAGGCCCGAACACAAAATGGACCATCTGGGATGCTTCTCAGGTACAATTTACGAATTATTACGCTTTAAATATGGATTAATAACATAATAAATATACCAAATAGGCGGTTTACTTGGTTTGGCCTCGAAGGCTCTCCCTACTAGCAGCTCATCGGGTCGCTACATGGACGTGGCAAAGGGTATCACGAACACCTGCCACGAGTCCTACGATCGCACCTACACGAAACTGGGACCAGAATCATTCCGATTCACGGAAAACGTCGAGGCTAAGGCGCTGAAGACCTCCGAGAAGTACTACATCCTTCGGCCGGAAGTGATCGAGTCTTACTTCTACATGTGGCGCCTGACGAAGGATCCCATTTACCGCGAATGGGGCTGGGAAGCAGTACAGGTATGGCATGACGATTGCAAAGTACGAAGAGCAGTTTCATCACTCACATATCTCCTTTAAAGGCACTCGAGAAGCACTGCAGAACGCCCGGCGGCTACACGGGCCTGAAGAACGTCTATAACGAGGAACCGCTGCAGGACGATGTCCAGCAAAGTTTCTTCTTGGCCGAAACTCTTAAGGTAATTCATTATTTTTATATACAAGCTCCACTCTGCATCATGATTAATTTATGAAGTATTCGCATAACTGTGATCGTATTTTTTTTTCTCTCTCTCCATTCTGTTGCTTCCTACTTCCATTTGGAATAGCACAGTTTTCAGTAACTGTTTTTTTCTGTCCTCTTTCTTCTATTTCTGGAAACGATCCAATATTACTATTAACCTTTATTGGAATTCAACACAATTTCTGCATAATAAAAAAAATACTTCTTTTTATTCACAACCAAACACTTACATAAATAATTCAATATTTGATCGACATAATTATCTGTTAATTATATATAATGATTAATTTAAAAGACTCCATCAATTTTCATCAATGATTTATCAACATCTTACATAATATTTTAATAATTGCGTCCGAAAATATAATTGAATTTCGTTAATTTATCACAGAATTAATTAAAGTGTCTGACATTATCAAAGCTACATAATTTTGCTATTGGATTTGATTTAAATTGTTACTTATTTCTGCATATTTTTTCATCTAAAATATTAAAAGAAAAATTGGAATATTCTTTGATATATTTCAATTTTTTAACTTTCGTTTCCTTGGTTTAAGCTAACAATTACGCGTAGCGCGCTTATTCAAATGAGATGATGATGATGATGAGTATACTCTGTAGGTTGCGCTCTTAATGTACTTAACAACTGTGTTTTTCTATGGTAATCGAAGAGCTGAATGTAAATTGTATAATTATTGCGTGTCTAACGTATGCGTATACAACAATTAGTATAAATACATTATGTTGTCTACATTCCATTTATTTACACTAAGATTGGTACTAAAAAGTAAACGTAATTATGATTATAATTTTATAATTATTTAATGTTTTTAGAAAAAAATTTCATCAATACTAATTATTATTTATTCCGATTTCAGTATTTGTACCTTTTGTTCTCCGATGATAGCCTGTTATCGCTGGACGAGTGGGTTTTCAACACCGAAGCGCATCCGTTACCAATCAAAAGTGTGAATCCTTACTACAGGGAGGCTGCGGTGTAAGGACGAGAGACCAAATCCTTCCTTGGAAACCGCCCAAAAACAATCACCACCACCAGCAAAAAAAAAAAAACCTAAACAGGAAAACCACAACCCCCACAGCAAACGGCAAGAAAAAGCAACAGACTGATATCAAAGTTGTTCTCTCATTGGATTTATTTATTTATCGTTGATTGTTCGAGCATGAAACGGCAGAAAATGTTGAAGAAAGGAAGAAAAAAAAACTGGAACAGGAAAACATGAATATTATATGTATAAATGTAATTGTAACAGACTTTTTACAGGATGTAAAGTGTAAAATAGTGTCACTGTGATTTTTTTTCTCACTCTATTTCTCTAAACTCTCTTTATTTCTTTCATTTTCTCTAACTTTCTCTCTCTATGTATCTTTCCCCAAGAACGCCAGTGCAACATGTACATAAGATGGGACATAAACACAATCGGATTATGATCGATTCATTTACAACAGATGATTATTATTAATAATATTATTATTATACTTAAGGTTATTTTATTATTTTCAATTAGGATTATTGTTTTCCCACCATTCCAACGCGCGCTGCTTGATTCGTTTGCATTTAATACTAAAAAAATCTTAATTTATTAAATTGTTGTTGTAATATTTCATTGGATTATGGATTATATATATATATTAAATTAAATTTGCTTAAAGTTGTTTGTCAGATACGGAGGACCAGTGATACTTATGTGAGTGACTGCCAAAACATGAATTATATTATAAACGCATAATATATGAAACTAAAGCATGATAATATAGGATAAACATGAAATCACGTTGTGTCAATTAAACAAACAAACTAAACAAAATGTAAAATGAATGTATCATTTCGTAGGTAAGGTATATTAAGGGAACGAATTGAGCAGTAAGGATGTGATGTTATTTTCTCATTCGAAACGAAAGCAATCGCGGAAGTGATGAAGAGGAAAAGAAAAATCATGTACATTTCTTTTTTTTTATATATATATAATTAATAATGGAATATGTGAATGAACTAGTTTAAATATTTGGGACACGTGCAGAAAGGAGTTGTTTATATTTTTTTTGTGGAAATTTTAACACTAATTTTATTTGGAGACGGTTCCTAAAGCAATTTCCTTCTCTGCATGCGTGAAGAAGAAAAAAAAAACGAAACTTGTTTTCGTATTTTCTTCTGCGGTGTTTTTGTGTGTGTGTAGTGAGTGTGATTGTACGAATGATGATGATGAATAGATTTATTAGCGTTATGTGTAAGTGAACGACGAAAGAAGTGGAATTCGACACATGAAAAGACATTAATTAATTAAACTAATTATATATTATTATGGATAAAGAATTTTGTTTTTCTTTTGTGTTTTTTTTTCATATATAATTTTTTTTTCTCTAGGGATTAGTTAAAATAATTATTATTGAGGAATAGTTATTTGTTATGTTTGAGATTTTACAATTGATATTTATATAAAAAACTAAAGTGAAATTATATTACAAAAAAAAATGAAGATAACGACAAAAAAATGCCCTTTTTTGAACTATCGTCTTTCATTATTTAACCCTTTATACATTTACTCTTAGGTTTTTACCCAAATCAACACTTCCTATGAATTATAACAAAAAGTTCGCTTTGTAGATGATACATCTATATTTTAATTGAAATGTGTGTCTTGAAGAACTCAAGAAATGAAAATTTTTCATCAACAATTAGCTTGATCAAGAAAATATTACACTAATATTTAATATATTTTCGTTTATTGATCGAAATGAAAAAAATCATTAAGATTGAAGCAAAAAGATTGAAAACTGATCAAGACAGAAGCAAATCTCAAATAAATAAAAGCAATATAATTGCTACAACAAAAAAATCGAAGTTATTATGATTAAAATCAATAAAAATTGTCGAAGATAAAACAATCATAGTTTTACGATAATTCAAGTAATCAAATGTTTAATTGTCTCTGGGCGGAAAGACTTAGGTCGATAGCCCTTTGGTTACAATTGTGAGTAATAAAGATTATTATTATTACAATTGTGACTAAAATTTTTAAGATTCAGAAACATAGATTACACAGGGAATTATATAAAAGATGAAATAATGAAATCATTTGAAATAAGCGTGTCTTGTTTTTCAAATGAAATAAATTTGTCACAAAACTTAAATAGTTTGAAAATTTACATTCAATATAGAATATAAGTGCAGCAATAGAAAATCTTTAAAATAATTTAAAATTATGAAGAAGATTTGAACCGTCTAAAATAACCATTTTTTCAGTTGTAAATGGAAATTTTCTGAGAAGTTAATAAATTATTAAATCAAATGGTTCAAAAATATATAGAACAACGTGTAAGATTTTCCTGTATTTTTATTATGTAATTCAATGATTCTCGAACTTTTCTTCCCTTTGTCCCTTTTGGACATACACAGTTTTTGCGACCCCTCGAAGAATGGGTATGTCTAGAAAAATAACCAAAATTGATCTATCGTTCATTTCTTGCAAATATTTTACCATACTTTGAGAATAACTGGTGTAATTCACAAGTAATCAAATTCTAAAACGAAACTTGTTAGTTTTCATCAATAACATTAATAATAAGACTAATTTACTGAATATATGTGTTTTCATTCTAATGAAATATATAAAACTTGTTAGTCATAACTTCTTTTAAATATTTTTGTTGTATATATTTTTAAAACACTTTACTGGACCGAAACTTTCATTTAGAAATCTAATAATAATTCGGAGATGCGAGAGAAAATTAAAAAAAACTTGCAATCTGCCAAAACAATGTTCGAAACTATGAAGGTCCGACGCTTTCGACTACAATCTCTTAATTAATTGGCATTGTGTTAAATGCTACGATATTTTTAGTATATAACGCATTGAGCATATTTACTTTTGTCTCGTATATAAATAATTTAACCATACATAATTATGTTAAGTAATATTTACATAGGAATTAATTTTGATAATTTCATTAAATTAATTTCACTAACAAAATGTATAAACGAAACAAGAATATATACAAATAATGCAAAAAAAATAAACAAATATTTATTAGTAAGTATAGATTTTATACTGCGTTAGTAAATAAAACTATTTTTTTTCTATTTATAAGTTTAGGATGAAATTAGAACGAGTCATTTATATTTTTGTCACTGCGTTCATAAAAATAACGTTTAAATGTGATTACAAGAAATGTTTCGAAATATAAAAAGGACAACAAAATTTCATTAATTTTATATATAAGAAATCTTAAATGAATTCAAAACTATTATTAGAACCTATTACAGATTTCGTTTAATAAATAGAAACAAAAACGAAGAAGAAGATTTATAGTTTAAAACGTTTGTGTGTAATTCAAACCTATCTTCGTGTATGTTAATATTTCTTTCAATTCGTTCATTCTCTTGATTGAATTGTTAAAAGGATAAAATATCAGAAAGAATTCCTTTTAATCATTGAATAATAAATTACTTCTTGCAAATTTATATATTTTTCATGAGTGAATGCATTTTTTTTACGTTAAATTTTAGTATCTTTTTAATAATTTTGTCATGTCAACATTCGACTGAAATCTTTGAATAATGTATGATACAACTTCTTGATTATTTCTCATGAATTACATATTTTTATTCAAACTAGTATTACGAACTAGTTCCTTTTCAAAGGGTTGTTCGTAAGTCGAATTTGTTCGTAAGTCAGCGAGAATTTTAAAAATTTCAAAATATACTTGTCTTACCACACTTTATCATGGTTTTTACTTTAAATTTGATAAAATAGATTAAAATAAACAAAACACTTATTTACAAATACTTTTCAATGTAGACATCGAAATTATTCAATAAAAAAGGACAAAAGAAATAAATGCTACAAAACAGAAAATTTCAATTTTTGTTTGGACAATTAGTTTTTTTATCAATATATATCTTGTAACAAGTTAGAGCTTTTAGAATTTTGTTCGTAAGTCCGGGAGTTCGTACGTCGGGGAATACCTGTACCACAGGCAATGAGTCAGGTTCACATGAAGACTTTGTTAGGAAGATTTAGAAGTATTAGTTAATTTGTTTAGTACTAGTTCAGAAAGTATAATTCTAATAAGTAAATTATACACTTGACTTATACGTTATACTTGATTATATACGTTGACCATAGTTACCATTGACGGCAACTAAATACATGTAGTTTAAATACAAGTTGCAAACAACTTAATAGTATTTTCTTAATAAAATGTTCATATTATTAGTATTCTAGTAAAGTGTTATGAAATTTGTTTTATAAATTCTATTTTTTTTGTTGTTGTTATTAAACTCTTTCTAAAAATATTACTCATGTTTATGAATATGACTATAAATACGGTTTTGTATAAGAGTTTACGAAACGAAAATGTGTGTTGATAACATATTTAGCAATACAATGCAGAATTAGTTATTGTTTGCAGGGAAGACGGCGGTGATTTAGTGGATTGTCTGGAGGAACGGCGTGGGCATCGGGGAAGAGAAAATTCGAAGGCGCAACTCGCGAAAAGCGCGCCTCCCGACTCCACGAATTTATTATTAGCGCAAAATAGTTTCGGTTCGCGTCTGCTGGTGAGAAGTTTGCGGGATTCCGTGATGTTTATAGATGAATAAAAAGTCTAACAGTTCAAGAAGAAAGAAAAGTTTTCAATTAATTTAAATTAAATTATCAAAGCGGGAATCATGAGGTGGTGTCTAATCTTGATCACGTCGTTGTGTAAGTAACAACATTTGCTTTGAACTAGTAAAATTACTTCTGAGTGCGTTTCTTTTGTAAAATTCTAAATTGCAAAGTTTCAAATTCTGTTTGTTGGAGATTGCATTACTTAGAGTGGGCGCACCCAGGTTTTTCTTCATTACGGAATTACATTTGATCGTGGAGACTTCGCGTGTCTTGCGACCATCCGTTTCACGCGATTCCTCCTCCAATCGCGATTTAATTTTACCGCCGATTTCATATTATACCTTCTTTTTTTTACCCTTCATGTTTGCTGTCCACTTTATTTATTTGCCTTCTCTCCTATATAAATAAACATGCGGCTTATTTCTGGGATGTTGTACGGCCCTCAACCTTGGCAAACTTGGCAAATGACGAAAGTGTGCCGAAAATATTTTGTGAATGGGTTTTTTTTTCTCTCTCGTGATTCTTCATTTGCGTACGATCGGTGATCAATAAATGGGTGCGATAAATGGATATCGAAGTAGGCAATGAGGTATGATGATAATGGACTGGCCTATTATAAATAGACCGATGAGCCATGGGATTGCAAAACCAATGTCGCGTTCAAACTCGCACCAATTTCCTTCCAATAACGTAACAGGATAACGAGTTTCCTGTCCAACTTGGGGGGATCCATTCACACTCGCCGTCCACCAACAAATATTTACTAAATGCTATATAATCGATATAGTGCTTAGATGATGACATTAAGTTAATAACAAAGTTCATTAAAATCATGAAATCTATTGTATTACATTACATAATAATACAATCAAACGAAAATAAGGTCAAGACAATATTTCAGTTAAGTCCTTAAGTAGCTGTATCATTTTCTCTGCTGTTTTCACGTGTTTTAGTATGTATAAGGTGTTGTGTAGAGTACAGCCAAGATGCTTCTCTTTGAAGGTCGCAGGTGCAGACGTGCAAGAACGTTATCACTTGTACCTCTGGCCGGGGTTACAGGAAGAGAACAGATTAAGAATATTGTCGACTTTTATCACCGGATGCACTTCTGGATGGAAAATTTCATCAAATATTATGGTGGTGCACACAGTGTAGTTTCTAATTTGTTGTGTATATAAATCAATGAATTTTTCTTTCTTAAAACTTTCCATTTAATCTATAGTCAACTTAATTTTCACCAGTAAAGTTTTCAATTTCAAGTTTATGTCTTGTTCTAAAGAAATCCCATTTAAATACAAATGTTTACTATTTGCTTGAACGTTTTCAGATATTTAACTTCTTTTTAAGATATAGTCAAATTTACAAATTGAAATTTACATTAATTGTAGATTGAATTGTTAATATTTTCATACTTAATATTATTTGTAAATAAGATTTAATTTTGCTTGAAAACTAAATTACACGAAACTAAAAAGAAAATTATAGAGAATTGCGAAGGCATTTTAAACGCAAATTTAATGGATTTGTGTAATAGTATAGATGAGATGTTTTGTGCGCCGGTCGGTTAGGATTTTAAATGGACAATTACATATTCCGAACGGAAATGTAGCGTATTATTGGATGCGTTTACGACCTTCCTGAAATTACAGCAATGTTCAATTAACGTTCGAAATTCTTCATGAACTGTGCATCATTGTCCATACAAAAAAACCGAAAGTTAAAATCAAACAAAAATATCATTTTCGAAATATTTCAATTTTATTTGACCTATATTTTACAAGAAGACAATGCAATAAGAACAGATACCTGAGCTGTTCATGTTTACTGAACCATTCAAACATTCAATTAACCTTAATTTAGCTTAATTTGGTGGCATGTAGTTAGATCATTTAAATTACCATTCAAAATACGTACACTCGGTCCTCTTTTTTATGCGGTTTTTATTTCAAGAAGCATTTTTTTTAACAACTATTTTAGGCCATTTTGACACGTTTTGACAC